GAGCCACCCTAGGAGGTAGAGGAATGGTGGTTACTTCCATGTTTGCGGTTAGAGGCACAGAGAGGGACAGTACCTGATCCGAGGTCACACAGCAGATTAGGGCAACTGGGTTGAAAGCCGGGTGTGTTTGCTCCAAGGTTTGGGGTGCACAGCAGTGAAATGCCAGCTGCTGCAGGGACAGCGAGGTGAAGGCGGCTGTGCTGCAGGACACGTAGCGGGAGGAGGCTGGAGTGGCCGGGATCCTCCTGCATGCTGTGGCCTCCCCTCCCTGGCCCAGACCTGTGGAGCCCCTGCTGCCCTACTGTGCGTGTTCCAAGGCGGTACTGCCCTGAGGGTGGTTTTCTAGGGTTGGAGCTCTGAGGGGGGCACTGTCCATGGCGCAAGGACTGCAGGCTGTGGAGCCAGGCCCCCGGGGCTCAGCTCGACTCCCCCCGTCCCCACTGTGTGCATGGCTTGTGCTTGCGTCTCTGACCTCACCTGCAGGACGAGGGCAAGGGCAGACCTCGCTCCTAGGCTCGTGTGAGGCCGAGAAAGGTCCCCACTTGCGAGGGGCTGACATGAGTGGCAGTGGCTAGTGCTCGTAAGCACTGGGGTGAGACCAGCACCCTGAGGGGTGGGAAAGAGAGCGGGAGCCAGGTGTGCGGGCCTCGGGGCCCGTGGTGGAGTTTCAGCGCTGCGCTGGGGGCCCAGGGGGCAGGGAAGGCTTTGGCAGCCCTGCATGACTTTGTCCCACCCACTGGGACCTGGCTCCGCCCAGCAGGAGCTGGCAATCAGACTGCTGCTTAGCAACCTTGGCAGCACCTGCGCCATGGGCAGTGACTTAGTAACTGCACCGCGTGTCTCTGCACCCTTGTCCTTCCTTCTCCAGGCCTCATTTTCCCCATCTGACAGTGCTGGGCCTGCTGATTTCTCGGGGTGCCCCCAGGTGCTGGTTACAGGAATTCTCTGGCTGTGGCTGGTGGAGTCTTGTTTAGTCCGTTAGCCCCCCAGAGATGGGGAAGAGTCTCCCTCCCGTCTCTGTTGGCTCCTTGGACCTGGTGAGGCATCTGCCAGAGATTCCCGTCCCAGGGAATCCTTGTCATCAGGGTGCCACTTGGCGCACTCTGCCTTGCCTGGGTCAGGGCTGGGAGCTGGGAGGGAAGCTGGCGGGGGGCAGCCTGCTGCTTCCTGCTCACTTCCCCCGAGCTCGCCCCTCGCACTCAGGAGCGTCTGGAATCGGCCCGTCCTTTCTCAGAGCAGGGGCTCTGGCCTGGGCCCAGAGAACAGTGACGCCGATGCCGTGGGTGGCAGGATTGAGGCCAGCCAGCCACAGCCGAGGAAGGCCGCCGGGAGCCAGCGGTCACCTCGGTTTTGCTTCCCTCCCTGACTTCCTCACCTGCTCTTCTGGCGTGGAGCCCACGTTGCGGGGAGAGAATAGAGACGCGCTCTGTGCTGGGCCCCAGCCTGGGGACACAGGTCGAGAGCTGTGCACCCCGAAACCACCCAGGGCAGCGTGACCGAGGTTCCTGTGCCCTGACGCCCAGTCTCTTCATCCTTTCTTGTGTGCTCAGTGCCTGTGACAGCCGCTGCCGCCGGATGTGCAGACCTGAGTTGCGTGTGCGCAGCCCCTGCCGTGCGCTGGGCAGCAGTGATGGACACACGCTGGTCCCTCCCATGGGGACCACACTGCAGGGAGAGTCGGGGGCATCCACCATTGCTTCCTCGGCCCCGCTTAGTCATTTCAGGATTCCCACCTGGCAGAACCACAGGGCGGAGACTGCCAGCCCTGATGGCTACAGAGCGCTCCGGCTCTGGCCATCCAGACGGCGTTAGCCCCAGTGGCAATGGCGGGTCTTGGCTGGTTACTGAGCTGGGGAGACGGGTTCTGTACTGGTCATCCTCCCAGTGCTTGGAGCCCAGAGTTCTTGGAGTGAGGATTAAGAGCCAAGGCTTTCTGGGCTCAGATCTGAGCCATCACAGTGGATGCAAGTGGCTACACTTCCGAAGCGGGGAGGGGTCCTCGGGCGTGCCGGGGAGTGACTGTGCATGCGGGCGGGCTGAAGCTCTGAGAAGTCCCACAGGCAGGAAACCCACTTGACTTTGACTCAGCGTTTTCCAAATGCTTATTAGCTTGAAGAATTTTCCCCTTCTCAAAAAGCTGGTTAATATCCCTCAGACTCCGTGTTCCCCCGAACAGCCTGGAAGTCCTCGTGGAAAGGATTTGTTTCAGCTGGGAGCGCCCCGGCGGCCGGTGTAGGTGGTCAGCGGGGGAAATGTGTTTTGTGCAGATGCGGAGTTTGGTTTGGCCCACGCTGTTGGCCCCGGTGGGGGAGCAGCGCTCTGCTCCCGGGCGGGAGAGCTCCCGGCGCTGCTCTCGTGATGCCGGGAAGGTGTCGGCGCTCTCCGTGGTGACTCAGGGCCCAGGACACCGTCTAAGTGGCCGGGTCCCCTGTTGGACTTGGGGCGGATGGACTGTCCTGGCGACCTGCCTTCTCACACAATGGAGAAGGCCCAGCTGGACCACTCTGGACCGGAAATGGGGTCCCTGTGGCATCCTGGAGCGGTCAGAGCCTTTTGCAAATAGCTTTGGAGGATTCCAGGCAGTATTTTTTGATCTCGCTTTCCTATGGCTGCCCGGTTTTCTGCCGTCAACATTCCTTGGTTCTGGAGAAGGGACTGTGCGCTGCTCATGCGCACACCTGGCTGAAGGTTTATAGCCCATAAACCCAGATGTGCAGGAGTGGGTGAGCCTTTGTCTCGCTCTCTAGTTTCTAATGGTTCTTTCAAAGCCTGCTGTTCTCTTATTTTTCCAGATGGGCAGCAAGTTTGGGAGATGGAAGCTACGGTGGATAAGGACAAGAGCCAGCCAGTAAGCACGCGGGCCAGCTGACCGGCAGACAGCTCATGCTCACGAGCCCCGCTGTCCCCCTGCCCTGCCCTGCCCTCCCCTCCCCTCCCCTCCCCTCCCCTCCATCACTCCATCCCTCCATCCCTCCCTCATCCTTTCTCCCTCCCTCCCCTCCCCCCTCCCCTTCCTCCATCACAGTCCCCCGTGTTTTGGACCTGACCCTGGACCTCCGCCGAGCGAGTTAGACGTCGCTCGAGCGCCAGGCCCTCTGACTGGCGTCTGTGACGGCTTAGTGGATACTGCAATGCAGAGTTCCACTCCCCTTCCCTCGCACATGGCCTGTGTGCCCAGGAGCGTGCCGAGACCCTCCCGTTAGAAGGGCGGTCTGCACGTGCCCAGGGCCTGTGTAGGAGTCTGGTTGAGTCCACGACCCCTGCTTCCTTCCAGAACATGCTTTTTGTCGAGATCCCCGAGTATCGGAACAAGCACACCCGCACGTCTGTAAAGGTGAACTTCTACGTCATCAATGGGAAGAGGAAACGAAGCCAGCCTCAGCACTTTACCTACCACCCAGGTAAGGTCCACTCAGCCAGCGCGCCCGTGTCCAGCGGGCAGCACCTGGAACTCCCCGGGCTGCTCCAGCTGGGCCACCGCGGACAGGAGACGCAGCCTCTCAGCCCGTATCTTCGTCTGTCAGATCTTCTCAGAGTTGCAGAAATAAAATGCATCCGAGATTCTCGCACAGTGCCTGGGAGGTGATGTGGGTGACATTAGCGACTGTTGTCATTAGTCGGTCATCTGTCTGCCTTCGGGGGAGGGGTCACACACAGACATGGGCAGCAGCAGGTGGCTACGTGGACGACACCTGTCCTGTCTGAGACCTGCCCCTGCCAGGACTAGCAGGTGCATTTGCCCTCAAGCCCGCAAAAGCTTTCAGTAGCACCAGGGGTCAGGGGCAACCAGGCCACAGGTCTCATTCCCACAAAGCCCTGCACTTGCAAGAAGAGTGATGAGTGTCTCTCTCTGCTTTGTTTAGAAAAGTGTGTGCCGGGCACTGTTCTGGGCTGGCCCACCCAGCAGTGAGCAAAACACAAGCAATCCCTGCTCCCTTGGAGCTGGCCCGCTTGGGAGTACCAGTGCCACACTGGGCTGGGGGGTGGGGAGGGAACAGCACCGCAGGTGTCAGAAGAAACACTGAGGTGGCCGCAGCCGTCCTGTGTGCCGCCCCCGGCCATGGGGAAGGGGCGACTCTCTACCAGGGGACAGGTTAGGAAACTGAGGCCTGAGCCGCTATTACAGACCCGAGGAGGCCGCTGTGTGATGGTTGCTCTGCCTGGAAAATGACCAAGAGCCACTTAGGTTCCAGGTGCTGTTCCGGGCCCAGAGGACCCAGCAGTGGACAGAGCAGACAGAGATCCTCCTGTGGAGGGGCTGGTGTGTGTGTGTGTGTGTGTGTGTGTGTGTGTGGTTTGGGTGGCTGGGGTTCAGGTCATGGATGAGACCCCCTCCACACGCACTGTGCATCTTGGTATCCGTGGTGACGCGTGGCCAAGCAAGCCTGGGTCCCGAGGGATCTCAAGTCACACACCCGCTGCTGAGCCCTTGCTGGGGACACAGCCTGTCCACGTCCCAGCCAGGGCTGAGCCAGACCCCCAGCCACCTGCCCCATACTGGAAGGGTAGAACTTGTGACCTAAGGCGCCCGCCCAGGGCTTCTAGGGACGCAGCCCAGCTGTGTGGACTCACGGCCATTCCTGCCCCCGTGTGCTTTTCTCTCCTCGCAGTCCCAGCCATCAAGACAGAGCCCACCGATGAGTACGACCCCACTCTGATCTGCAGCCCCGCCCACGGAGGCCTGGGGAGCCAGCCTTACTACCCGCAGCACCCGATGGTGGCCGAGTCCCCCTCCTGCCTGGTGACCACCATGGCCCCCTGCCAGCAGTTCCGCTCGGGGCTCCCGTCCCCCGACGCCCGCTACCAGCAGCAGAATCCGGCGGCCGTCCTCTACCAGCGGAGCAAGAGCTTGAGCCCCAGCCTGCTGGGCTACCAGCAGCCGGCCCTCATGGCTGCGCCCCTGTCCCTCGCGGACACGCACCGCTCGGTGCTGGTGCATGCCGGCTCCCAGGGCCAGGGCTCGGCCCTGTTGCACCCAGCGCCCGCCAACCAGCAGGCCTCACCGGTGATCCACTACTCGCCCACCAACCAGCCGCTGCGCTGCGGGAGCCACCAAGAGTTCCAGCACATCATGTACTGCGAGAACTTCGCGCCCGGCTCCACCAGGCCCGGCCCGCCCCCCGCCGGTCAAGGTCAGAGGCTGAGCCCAGGCTCCTACCCCACGGTCATTCAGCAGCAGAATGCCACGAGTCAAAGAGCTGCCAAAAACGGACCCCCGGTCAGTGACCAAAAGGAAGTCCTACCTGCGGGAGTGACGATCAAGCAGGAGCAGAACCTGGACCAGACCTACCTGGATGACGGTAAGAGTCTCCCTCTTCTCCGCGGCCGGGGAGGGCCCCACGTGGCCCAGGTGTGTTCCCTCAGGGCCCTCGTTGGGACTTCCGGGGTGTGAGTAAGATGACCTTGAATGTCCTGCCAGTCTCATTTCCCAGTGGGAGCTGCTGGGGTGGGTAGTAGCATTAGATCCCTCCCCCCTTCACTGCTCTGAAAGGGAAAGCCAGCCAGGGCAGTTGTAGCCCCAGGACAGACCCCAGGGTCATGAACTTGGTCCCTTTAACGGCTTCCACTCCCCTTCCGATGGCCAGATTTAGGCGGAGGACAGGAACGCAGAAAGGACAGGAAAGCCGAGCTCCCTTTGTTCCGGTGCAGAAACCCCCGCTCTGTAGCGCTCTTGTGTGTGCTGGGGGGGGGGAGGGGAGGAAGAAGAGCACTCATTGAGAAGGGGCTCGGGCCGCATGAATGGGGGCTCGCCGGCAGGCTGTGGGTGGGGCTCGGCCGTGTGCTGCTGGACAGAGCACACAGATGGGAGAGGTGGGCGCCTGCCGTGGTGAGCCCGGCCAGTGGGGCCGCTGGGCCAAGCGGATGATGCAAGAGGCCTTTGTGTGGGTCCGTGGGTGCCCCGGTCTGTGGGCAGAGGGCCCTGCCTGGGGGTCGTCGTGGAGCGGCTGTGATGTGGCCTCGGGTCTGCGTCTCAGGGAAGGAGGGCTGTTTGTTCTGGGCAGACTCACCTGGCACTGGCCAGGTGCAGCTGGGGCACGGGGGGGTGGGGGGCTGCTGCAGCTCCTCTCGGGAACTCGGGAAGCCAGCGCAGAGCTGTGCGTTCTCCTGATGGGAGAAGGAGCCATCCCGGGCTCCTGCCTTGTGCTCTGCCGGTGGTGGCACCTGGCACACAGGCTGGGCACCCCTTGTCTGCAGGTGGTGGCACATGGCACACAGGCTGGGCACCCCTTGTCTGCAGGTGGTGGGACCTGGCACACAGGCTGGGCACCCCTTGTCTGCAGGTGGTCCACCCGGCACACAGGCTGGGCACCCCTTGTCTGCAGGTGGTCCACCCGGCACACAGGCTGGGCACCCCTCATCTGAAGCGCTCTGGCCTGACGTGTTTAAGATCGCCAGGTTTGGGGTTTGGGAGTATGTAGAGAGCTCACCTGTTGAGCTTCCCTAATCGAAAGCCCACAGTGTTCCGGCATCTGAAGGCTTTTGAACATCACGTGCGCCAGTGTCCAAAGTTTCGGCTTTTGCAGCACTGCACATTTTCAGATTAGAGGTGTTCGCCTGTACCCCAGAACCCCAGTTAGGAAAATTAACTCCCAGGAAGCCAGCCAAGGAGCGGGAAGTAAGACCAAGGCCTTGGTGGTTGTGGGGAGTGGGCGGGTTCCTGCCTCTCAGGTACTTGAGTGACAGGAAAACCCTTTGGAGCAAAGTCTTGAGGTGCCAGGTTACCTGGGCTCTGGGGCTTCTAGAAGTTTCCATGCCTTATCTCCAGTAAAACGATCCTTCGAAGACCTCCCCTGACCTCAGCAGGCCCACAACTCTGGGGCTGCTTCCTGCCGGTTAATGTTGCCCGGTGCCTCACAAGGCCGACCTTCGTTAATGATTGATAATCCGATGCCAGATGTCTCGAGTGGAGTCCGGGCCCCTGTGCTGGACCCTGTGCCCCGGGGATGGGTGAGGCACGGCTCAGGTCCTGTCCTCAAGGGGGCTGACCTGCACGGCGGACATGTGATGCACAGGGCCTAGCGGTGTGGACACGTGCCACGTGGCTGAGACCGGACCCTGTCCGTGTGTGGGGCGCGGTCGTGTTACAGGTGAGGCGCTTTATAAATAAATGAGAGCCCAGGTCACTTCCCAGGGGACTCTGGGACTGGCGGGTTAGCTCCCTGTCCCTGACCCCATGCTGAAGGCGAGCAGTGAGCGCCTGCGTTGGGAGCCATGATGTCCCCGTGGGTCCGAGGTGGGCTCCGGCCACAGCGCTGTGCTGTTGTGTGGGAGGTGGCCAGGTGTGGTAGCCCCCTGGGCATGGGCCCACCCCCTGCTGGTTCTCGGGCCTCTTAGAGGACTGCGCATGGCACGGCTGCTGCCGCTGGGGGAACCTGCAGGGGGTTCCGGGTGACCCCCGCCCCCACCTCCCATCCCTACCCCAAGGCTTTAGGAGCTGCCCTCTGATGGAAGCTTTCATGGCTTCAAAAGGTGAGAGAAGCTGGGTTGAATAAAGTTTTAAAAACCACTCCTGGCCAGTGCTGCGGCTCACTAAGCTAATCCTCCGCCTGCGGCACCGGCACTCCAGGTTCTAGTCCCGGTTGGGGCGCCGGTTCTGTCCCGGTTGCCCCTCTTCCAGGCCAGCTCTCTGCTGTAGCCCGGGAGTGCAGTGGAGGATGGCCCAAGTGCTTGGGCCCTGCACCCGCATGGGAGACCAGGAGGAGGCACCTGGCTCCTGGCACCAGCCGTAGCGGCCATTTGGGGAGTGAACCAACGGAAGGAAGACCTTTCTCTCTCTCTCTCTCTCTCTCTCTCTCTCTCACTGTCTAACTCTACCTGTCAAAAAAACAAACAAACAAACAAACAAACAAAAAAAACACCACTCTCGTGGGACCTCTCGGCACTTTCCCGGGGCCTAGGGTGACAAACGTCTCTGAAGCCTGGGGGCGTGGCCTTCCCAAAGGGACTGGACCCCAGGCCAGGCTGCAGCCCTACTGGGAACTGGGTGACGAGGGGGCCTGGAGCCTGCCCCACTCCCGCACACAGCTGAGGGCCCTGCAGATGTGGGCTCTGTCCAGCGTGGCTCCGTCCCATGCATCACTTGGGGCCGCAGCATGATGGGGGAGTGGAAGAATTTCTGCAGGTGTGGTGCCCATGGGCAGCGGTGTGCACCGGTTCGTGTCTGGTGCTCGACCGGCCTTGTCTGCCTGGCTCTGCCCAGCCTGGGCCTCTTCCCTGGGGAGGCCGTCCTGGCCATTCCACATGGCAGTTAGTCCACTCCGCACCTCGCCGTAGCCCTGGGCTGCCGTGGGCATGGTGTGGCCTCCGGTTGCTGGCATCTCGGGCCCTGCTCACAGATCCTTGGACCTGTGGGACATCTCCAGTGTCCCCTCTGCGCATGTGGCTTTCAGACTTGTGTGTTTGCTGTCTCATGTGTGCTTCTGACACTGGACCCTCCAGGGCCATTGCTCTGATGGGAGACACCGAGGCCTGTCTTGTTCAAGGGCAGGGGCGGGGCTCTCCCACGGGGCTCAGGCTTGGCTGCAGTGAGGCGTGGGTCCGGGGTGGCCGTTTCTGACCTGCCATGGATTCGCCTTGGGGTTCTGAAAGTGTGGCGGAGCTGGGAGTTGGGTCTGCAGCTGGAGAAGGAAGTGGGGCAGTGGACTCCAGCCCTCTCTCTGTAGCACAAGAAAGGAAATGGACGTCCTGGGCGCTGGCCACGCCCCTCCCCAGTATCTGAGAAGCCCCCACTATCTGGTACCCTCTTCCCAGACCTGCGTGTGACCCCAGGGGTCTTGTCTGGCATCCTGCTCGGCTCCCTCGCCACGGTGCCTGCTCCCCGGCCCGCCCGCCTGTGTGCACAGGGATGCCGCCCTCTCTCCATCTCTCCTTCCCTCTCTCCATCTCTCCTTCCCTCTCTCCGCTCCGGCTGGAGGCATTTTCAGTCTCTCTGGGCAGAATGAGTGCTGCTGCAGGGCCCGGTGCTCCCACCCCTGCTCGGGTGTTTTCATATAGTTCCTGTCGCACCCGCACCTGTTCTCTGCGCTCTTGTCCCCTGCTGTGACAGTCTCCTGTTCTGAAGCCCCAGTGCTCCCGGGGGGTCTCCAGCAGCTCCTAGACCCGCCTCTCCATCGTCTTCTCTGTCCCTGACCTCCTCGTCCCCCTCACTCCACGATAGCTCCCACACCAGGCACTGCCCTGTGACTTAGGGATATGCCAGGGACCGAGTCCAGTGGGAGCCCTGCTCTCGTGGCGACTTTCACTGGGATGGGGTGGACTCCAGCATGGCGGGCAGCAGGCAAACCGGCAAAATTAGGAGCTGGAGGGGGCGGGATAGGGGTGGGGCTGCCCCCAAGGCCTAGCAGATGGGAGGGGCCACACAGTGAGGTCGAGGTCGGAGGGAAGGGGCGCCAGGTTGGTCGTCAGCTGCCTCTCAGCCCTGGGCAGTGACTGGATTTCCCTTCTAAGAGAAGGCACCCAGCTGCTTTAGGAGAGTGGCCCAGGGGAGGCGAGAGACGGCAGGAGGAAGAGGGTTCATCTGTCTGTAGGACCGTGGTGGGTGTGCGTCAGGTCAGCAGGGCAGGCTGTGAGGAGCAGAACGTGCTGGGGTGAGGAGCCAGGTGCAGGCAGGCAGTGCAGAGGCCTGGGAAAGTGGGCTCAGATGAGACCCCAGTCAGAGCCTGGGTGTCGGTGACTCCACGGGGGAGCTGGGGCTCGGAGGTCCCCGGGCCGCCTCACCACCCATCTGCCGCAGGCTCCCCCTGTCCTCAGTCTAGACCGGGGCTGTGGGGTGGGAGCATGGCGTGGGCTTCGTGGGAGATCCTTGACCCGCCATTCCGGAAGTGTGCAGAGGCCAGTGTCGCTCCCCCTCTTCGTGGAGGAACGACACAAGACCCTGCCTAGGCTTCATATCCGAGTCACGGCACCATTATGTCGCTCCCCCTCTTCGTGGAGGAGCAACACAGGACCCTGCGCTGTTCTTTCGTCTGCTCGGCCCTCCCCGGGTTTGCTGCTGGTTCTTCCCGGGTTGGCTACTATCCCTTCCACCTCCGTGGAAGGGCAGTTCCCCCTGGCCGCATTCCCCACTTCCGCAGGGGAGCGGCACACCGCCGGCCGGCTTTCTCGGGGGCTGCACGGGTTCCCTTAGATGTTCCCCATAGATGTTCCTGGTGCATGCCGTCTCTCTCCTCCTTTATAGTCCTCCTCCGCCAATCCTAACTCGGCTGCCCACACGCCGAGTACGCTGCTCTCCAATCAGGAGCAAGTCCTACAGTTTATTAGTTGAACTGGAGGCAGCTGTGCGGAAGCTGTTTACTTCTCT